CTGCCCTGTTCCTGTATGTACAGCTAGGTGCACTTACCCTCTTGCAGAAGTAAATTTTGCTTTGCCAAGGTATTTAGTATCTTTTTTGTGACATCGGGATTAATTTCTAACAGAACTGACTTGATGGTACTTTACAACAAACCCGCTTTGGACACCAGTCTTTGTCTCCTTGGCCTCTGAGGTGGTATGTTTATAGTCTGGCCATGTCTGTTGGCATTTCTTGGTCCTCACCGCACTGTCCCATTCTGACAACCACAACCCCTTAAAATGGTTTCTCTATTTCAAATTGTATAATCATATCCATGTTTATCTCCCCTGTGAGAGCGCAAGTTCCTAAAGAGTAAGGACTGATTCACTTTTGGAATCCTACACAGAGTCGACTAAACAGTATGCCCAACAAATTATTCTTGTTGTTAATTGTTGTAAACTAGGTTCTGACTCAGCAACCCTGTATAGGGTTTCTGAAGAGCAGCTGGTAGGTTTGAACCACCGACTCTGTGGTTAGCAGTCCAGCGCATGTCCTACAGTGACACACCAGGACTCTGTTCAGCAAGTTGCTGTTGTTGTTAATTGCTATTGAATCAGTTCTGACTCATAGTGACCCTATATAGGGTTTCTGAGGAGTGGCTGGTGTGTTTGAAGCACAGACCTTCTGGTTAGCATTGCAGGGCTTATTCTAAAGTGTCTCACCACTAGGACTCCAACAAGTGGTGTTTAGCAAATATCAGGAGAAAGGGTTGGAGGGAAGAAAACAACTTGGCAAAAGTGCCTACCTGAGATGATGAAGAATCAAAACCTCCACTGACATTTCCACTACAATCTTCACAAGAGAAGTGTCTTTCTTTGTTAACAGCACTAAAAGGCAAGAAAGAATTAAAGAGACAATGACCAGAAACAATATGCACCCAGAGGAAATAGCCGTGGGCCAAGAGTCAGGAGACTCTTATGGCAAATCCTCTCAGCTAACATATATGGATTTCTGGTGTGGCGCTGCAGGATCAATTCAAACCCACCAACTGCTTCTCAGAAACCCTATATAGGGTTGCTATGAGTCGGAACCAACTCGACAGCACTTAACAACAACTAACATATATAATACATTTAGGACTCAAGTTTTCTCATTCAAAAAATAAGGAGACAGTTGCTAGTGACCACCTGAGTCTACTTGTGAATGGATGTGGGAAATGCAACAATGAAGACATGGGCTGAGTTTGGACATGTTCCCTTGGCACCCATTGGCATTGAGATGAGAGAGAGAAAAAAGGTAGGACTGGCTGGTCTGAAATTCAGGGAGTTGTGTGAACTCCTGAGCCCATGGGCACTTACCTAACCCTTGGGGGCTAGGGCCAAGAGTGAAGGGGTCAGCTAGTCTGAAGGGCAGGGAAGTGTTCTTGAACTCCCAAACTTACAGCTCATAAACTTTGACCTAGCTTGGATGGCTGTGGCTGAGCTGAGCAGAACCTGACCAGATTAAGATAAACATGTCTGATACTATGAGCAAGTGTCAACTGCTACAATTTGATGACTTGGAATTTTGCTTATTGATGCAGTTGCTCAAAATTCTAACCAGAATGGAAGATTCTTCAGATTACGGAACATGCTTTTTTCTTCAGTGTACTAGTTTGATGTTGTTGCTGTTGCTGCTGTTAAGCCGTCGAGTCAGTTCCAACCCACAGCAACCCTGTATAGGGTTTCCAAGGAGCAGCTTGAACTGCCGACCTTGCAGTTCAAACCAACTTTTCAGTCCAGGGCATTAACCCACAGCAATGGGCAATATAGACAGACACTGGCTATCAAAAATGGGGATGCTATAAAAGAGCTCTAGAAGCGTAGTGGTTACGAATCAGGCTGCGAACCGCAAGGTCAGCAGTTTGAAACTACCAGCTGCTCCACCAGAGAAAGATAAGGCTTTCTGCTCCCGTAAAGATTTACAGCCTCGGAAATCCTGTTCAGGGTCACTATGCGTCAGAACCGACTCGATGGCACTTAACAGCAAATAAAGGCATGAAATGGCTGACTTCCAGGCTTTTATGGGTGTGCATGGTTTCAGAATGAGAGGGTAAGAAGAATTTCCGATGAATAGTTTTCCTCTTTTCCAGATGGGTCAGGTGAAAGCAGGTGGGGGGTGATGCTGATAGGATTGTATTAATCATTTGTGAGTAATTGTTAGCAAGATTAAGTATGATTGTCAAAACTGAAATTGAGAAAATGTGTAACTAAAAGTGGGGAGTAATCTTTCATTTCAGAACAGAGGATCTCAGGACCATCAAAAAGGAAGAGCATGAATGTATCGTGAGATCCCTACCTAGAAAAGAGGCAACAGCAGAGGTGGTGGCATGGAGAGACAGAGCAGCTACAGACTCTAGGTCTTGGCTTGAGTAAGGCTGTAGGCAAGAGGCTGGTTCGTGCCCTTTGGATATTTAAATGAATACATATTGTTTTGTTTTATTAAAAGAAACCAGATTAAAAAAAAAAAAAAGAAACCAGATAAATGGATAGACAAACTGTGGTACCTACATACATACATACAGCCACACACACACACAAAAAAAACCCTAAGTTTATTAGAAACTCAATAAGGAGAACAATCTTTTGATAGAGTCTTAGTGTCTCAGAAGACACATGCCAAGGGGACTGGGTTCAAATGGTTTAAAGAGGATCTTTCAAGACAGATACTGATTGGGATTGGGAAAGTTGGGGACATAATAGTTTAGGATTGGTGAACACACTGAGCTGAGGGGCTTGACAGAAATTGATAAGCAATCTGGTGTACATTAAGTGAGCTGTTAAGTGTTGCCTATTAAAATGAGCAAATTGTTGGCCCAGATACAATGATTTACAATCATTTCCAGAAATAAACAGTAAAGTTATTCATTATTTAAAATAAATCAATAAATTCATAATTTACCATAAATAAATCTATCTTGGTTCAAATTCTGTGGCATGACTCCATAAAGCATTTGGTTGACTATAAGAAATACCATGCCCTTGGGCCAACAATATTAGGAAGTCTCTTTCTCTAAACCTCTTAAAGCTAAATGCATAAAATCAGAAAGGTAAGCACATGCTTACTTGTGCTTACTCAACAATCATCTCATGACAGGTTAGAAAATAAACCCGTATTTACCTTGCTGATTGAGTAATCTGTCCTGCTGCTATGCAACAAGCTGAAGTTTCTCATCCATTAACAACAATGCCTAGGCTGGTGTAGTGGGAAGGCCAGGTTTGGCAATTACTTACAAGAAAGATTTTGAGTACTGTCTTTACAGTGAAAGGGAGAACTGGAGATTTGCAGCTAGAACAGATGATGACCAAGAGAAGGCTTGCCTAGAGAGAGCAAAGCGGATCACCACCACCTACTATGTGACCTGAAGTGAGAAATCCTTCACAGTTTCCATTTTTTGCATTTTTAGTAGCCAGAATATAGAGGAACACTTCAAAAAGACTTACCAACCAGAGTGCTTCATCGCATCAAGTAGAAGTCTGACATATGGATCTAAAAAGATAATGGTTTAAGTATGCTGATTAGGAAAAACAGAACCAATTAAATACAACTACGAGATCAACACTGGGCTAGGGACCACAAGGCCACCAGTTCAAACCCACATGCTGTTCCTTGGAAACCCTATACAGGGTTGCTATGAGTCAGAACTGACTCGATGACACTTAACAACAATTCTTCATTTAATGACTATCTCCTTATCCAACTCTATCCTTATCTGACATTTCACACTTAAGGTAATAGTAAAAAATCTATCTGGCAGGGCAATGTCAGTGTTCAGAAGTAAGAGGGGGAACACCGCTCTATAAGAGTCCAGGCCCCCCCACCCCAGGGGGACCAGGTGGAAGTAGCTGGGCGGGTGGTTTGAGGGAGCACCAAGGGAGCACTCCCTGGAACGGAGGATCTGTACTACTTCAGGGAGCAAAAAAGTGTGCTGGGCTCAGCAGTCCAGGGGTCCCCAGAGGGGCCGGCAGGAGGAAGGTGGCAGCCTCAGCCCTGCACTGCAAGAGCAGCAGTGGGCCGGGGTTTTCAACACTAGGTGGTCAGGGCTCTCAACTACGGCCCACTGGGGCTCTGCAGGCTGAAGCTCAGCATGGAGGAATGAGGCAGCCTGGGTCCAGCTGTGCTGGAGGACTGCAAGGTGGGCGTAGGGGTGCGGAAGCACAACAGCAGTGGACAAGCCCAGCATCCACCACTGCCATAGATGAGGCCTCCACAAGCCACACCTGGAGAAGGGAGGAAAAAGGGGGAGGCCTGCACTGAGGTGCAGGAGCAGGGGAATTTGGGGATAGCTCCTGGGAGTATGGGGAGAAGCTTGAAAGTTCTGAGGAACAGACGGAGCAGTGTTGGAAGAACAGCAGGCACCCCAGCCACGAAGTAGAGGTTCTGGGAACAGTCCCTTCAGGCAGGAAGCTGCTAGAGAGAGCCCAGCCAATCAGGTCTCGGGGGCCTGAAGGGGAGGGGTGCTTTAGGGTACAGGACGTGAACTGGCAGCCTGGGGTACAAGTGGTTCAGGCTGTCTAGGAAACATACCTAGAGGGGAAAGAGCTACAGAAATTAAAGTGTCACCCCACCCCACCCCACCCCACTCCACTTCCCGGCCCCCATACAAACACTCAGAGGCAAAGAGTCCAAGATACAAGTGGAGAACATTGTAACTTTAGGGCAGAGGGAACTCAGGAGGTAAGGACTGTTGTTGTGAAGTGCCTGTATAGGGTTTCCGAGGAGCAGCTGGTAAGCTTGAACCGCCAACCTTGCAGGTCAAACGGCTTTCCAGTCTGACGCATTAACCCACAGCACCACACCAGGACTCCAGGAGGTAAGGGTTGTTGTTGTTAAGTACCGTGGAGTCCATTCCGACTCATAATGACCCTGCACAGGGTTTCCGAGGCTGTAAATCTTTATGGGAGCAGAAAGCTTCATCTTTCTCCCACAGAACGGCTGGTAGTTTTGAACTGCCGACCTTGAGGTTAGCAGCCCCATTCGTAACCCCTACACTACCAGAGCTGGGGGAAGCAAAAGAACGCTGTGAACCCAGGAGAGTTAGAAGCCACTGCCCAACGGTAGGCTGCAGTGTGCAGAATCCTTTTCTGCCACCTCTACCGGTCAGGGTCATCATCAAGTCCTGTCTGCAGGGAAGCTGCAGAAGGTGGCAAGTAAGGAAGTCATGTAATTTTCAAAATAAAGCCAAGTTTCATGTAAGGGGCTGGTCTTTGGAACCTAACCATGTCAATGAGAAATGGATGTATCCAAATAGCAGTATAAGATTATCAAGTGTAACCCACAAACAGCTAATTAAGTGTGGCGCTGTGGGTTAATACGCCAGACTGCAAAGCCGTTTGAACTGCAAGGTCGGTGGTTCAAGCTCACCAGCTGCTCCTCAGAAACCCTATACAGAGTTGCTATGGGTCGGAACCGACTCGACAATAACAACATCTTATTGTTAAGTGCCATCAAGTCAGTGACAACCCATAGCGACCCTGTATAGGATTTCCAAGGAGTGGCTGGTGGGTTTGAATCACTGACCTCATGGTTAGCAGTCAAGTGCTTATCCTATAGCACCAAAGACTAGCTTAATATTAACGTAAGTTTGTAACAAATAAAATATTGACAAACACCAAGTTAGGTACCAAAAAGCATCTGATTATATCAATGCCCAACTACACTATATTACAGTTTATATCAAAAAAAAAGTACTAGGAATTTTGGGCAACATCGACAGAAAAAACAGCAATATAGTATCCAGATTAGAGGAAGGCAGTAACCCCACTGTTCTCTGTGCTGGCGGGGACCCCACTGGCAACACTGTGTTCAATTCTGAGTACCTCATTTCAAATGAGACCTGCCATCTTAAGTATCTTCCACAAAGGATGATGACTAGCATATTAAAGGATTTGGGAATTCATCCTAGAGAAGAAGGCTTAACTAAAACCACAGTCGTTGTTGTTATGTGCTGTGGAGTCGGTTCCGACTCACAGTGACCCTGCACAGGTTTCCGAGGCTGTAAATCGTTACGGGAGCAGAAAGCCTCATCTTTCTCCTGTGGAACAGCTGGTAGTTTCAAACTGCTGACCATGCGATCAACAGCCCAATTTGTGACCACTATGCTACCAGAGCTCCTTAAGACCACAGAAGCTTCGTTCAACATTTATTCAGAGGGCAGAACAAGAAACTAAGAATGAAAACTTACAAAAAAATTATTTCAAAAGGCCAAGTTTACCGGTCAGAAAGATTGGAGGAACCCAAGATGATGGCCCTTGGCCACCCTTCAGGTCTGGAATGGAATTTACCCTTGTGACCCAATTTTCAACCAAGCGGTATATACGAATGTAGGGCAGGCAACACTACTAAGGTATGCTCACCATGGGATGGTCAACCATTCAAAAACAAAAGAGCAACATTTACATAAAGACAAAGGTCAGAAGGGTGGGGGAAAAGGATAGAATTGTAGTAAGAACCACAGGAAGAAAGTGGGCTAACTGTTGTTACATGGAGGGGACTGTAATCATTGAAATAAAATGAAGTATACGATTTGTTGAATGTAAAACTAATGATCTGTTCTGTAAACCTTCACTCAATTCACAATAAAAAGTCTCAAAGTAAAAGAATGGTAATTACAGGTGGCAAGTTTGAATACAGTATGTTGTTGTGGTTGTTAACTGCTGTCAAGTCAGTTCTGACTCATAGTGACCCTATATAGCGTTTCCGAGGAATGGATGATGAGTTTGAGCCACCAACCTTCAGGTTCAAACTGACCTTGCAGTCCAGTGCTTCATCCTACAGTGCCACACCAGGAACACAGTATAAGAGAGGATTTTTCCCAACAATTAAGTGTATTGAAACCATAAACATGTAGCTTCAAAGAGTCTCAAAGAACAGCTAGCCAAGCAGAGGTCTACATACAATATAGGCCAGAAATGACACAAAAAATGTTCCTGTATTATGGAGGTGTACTAGAAGACTTCTGGGAGCAGGCCACCATAAGTTACACTGCCAGAAGATGAAAACATTATGAATACCACCAGAATATTGTCAAATAAAATGCTGGAAGATGAGCCCCTTGTGTTAGAAGACACTCAAAATATGACTGAGAAAGAGCTGTCTCCTCAAAGTAGAGTTAACCCTGATGACACAAATTAAGTAAAGCTTTTGGGACCTTCATTTGCTGATGGGCCCAGCACAAAATGAGGAGAAACAGCTATAAACATCCATTAATAATTGAAACGTGATAAATGAAGTGAGAAGTAAGAAAATTGGAAGTTGTCAAAAATGAAACGGAAAGCATAAAGATCAATATCCTTGGCATTACTGAGCTGAACTGGACTGGCATTGGCCATTTTGTAATCTGACAACCACATGGTTTACTAAGCTGGGAAGGACAAATTCAAGAGGAATGGCGTAGCACTCATCATCAAAAAGAACTTTTCATGATCTATCTGGAAGTACAATTCTGTCTGCTGTAGGATAATATCCATATGCCTACAAGGAAGACCAGTTAATACAATTATTATTCATATTTACACACCAACCAACTAAAGCTAGTGCTGATTAAATTGAAGAATTCTACCAACGTCTTCAGTCTGAAATTGATCAAACATGCAATCCAGATGTATGGATAATTACGGGTGATTGCAATAAAAAGGTTGGAAACAAAAAGGATCAGTAGTTAGAAAATATGCCTTGGTGATAGAAATGATGCTGGCAACTGCATGATAGAATTTTGCAAGACCAATGACTTCTTAACTGCAAATACCTTTTTTAAACAAAAGATGACTATACACATGGCCCTCACCAGATGAAAAAAACAGGAATCAAAATGGCTGTATCTGTGGAAAGAGACAGTAGAAAATCTCAATATCCTGAGACAAAACAAAGTCAGGGGCAGACTGTGGAACAGACCAAGGATTGTTCATGTGCAACTTGAGACTGAAGCTAAAGAAAATTAAATTATGTCCATGAGAGCCAAAATATGACCTTGAACACAGCCACCTGAATTCAGAGACCATCTCAAAAACAGATTTGACACATTAGGCACTAATGACCAAAGACCTGAAGAGCCGTTGGATAACATCAAGAACATCATACAGGAAGAAAGCAAAAGTACATTAAAAAGACAGGAAAAGAAAAAGACCAAAATGGATGTCAGAAGAGAATCTGAAACTTGCACTCCAGCTAAGAGATGTTAAAGCAAATGGAAAAAAAATGAGGAAGTCAAACAACTGAGCAGAAAATTTCAAAGGACAGCTCTAGATGACAAAGTCAAGTATTATAATGGAATGTGCAGAGACCTGGAGTTAGAAAACCAAAGGGAAGAACATACTCAGAATTTCTTAGGATAAAAGAACTGAAGAAAACTTTTAATAAGCCTCAGCATGAACTATTGGGGAAAATATTGAATGATGTGGTGGCAGTGGTAGTGTGCTGTGGAGTCGGTTCCAATTCATAGTGACCCTGCATAGGGTTTCTGAGGCCGAAAGCTTCATCTTTCTCCCACG